AGTCGAGGGAGGGGATCCTCCCTTGCTACTCAGTCCTGGTGAGGCCGCTGGTGGAGAGCTGGGTCCAGTGCTGCACCTCACAGTAAAGAGAGACACGGAGCTGCTGGAACAAGTCTTACAAAAGGCTCCTTGGATGCTGAAGGGCCTGGAGCATCTCTCCTGTGAGCAAAGGCTGCAAGAGCTGGGACTGTTCAGCGTGGGGAAGACTGAGGGGAGATCTTATCAAGTATCTGAAGGGAGAGTGCAAAGAGGATAGGGCCAGAGACTCCTCAGTGGTCCCCAGCAATAGTCCTAGGCAATGGGCACAAACTCAAACACGGGCAGTTCTGTCTCAATATGAGGGAAAAACTGCTTGACTGTGAGAGTGATTGAGCACTGTAACAGGTTTCCCAGAGAGGTTGAGGAGTCTTCATGCTTGGAAATACTCAAAAGCCATCTGGATACGATCCCAGGCAACATGCTCTAGGCTGCCCTGCTTAAACAGTGGGGGCTGGACTAGATCTCCAGAGGTCACTTCCAGTCTCAGCTATTCTGTTGCTCTGTGATTCTGTAGATACCTACTAAAGACGAGCTGCTTTAAACTGACTACTGATTGATTTGCATTTATTTATTAATAGTTCATTAGTGGAATAATTTAGCTGAGGACATAGTAAAAGGTAGAAATTTGCATATCCCTTTGCATACCAGTGACTGTTGGTTAGAAACCTGACTGATGGGACTGTTTAACCTCTTCACCCGCTGGACCTCACCCTGGTCTCTGGTACCTAGAGGTCTGTGTAAGTGTTGGGCCACAGCATTTTTTTTTTGTATTTCTGTTTTTGTTTTTAAAGAGCAATGCTTATGGCAAAGTCAGTACCATAGGCTTCACTTGTCGCTGTTATTCGTTCCCTTTGCAGCAGGTTAGCCAAGGCAAAAACAACTCATCTGGTTCTACTAATGCTGTTAGTTTTGCAGAGTGACTTTTTACCTCCTGTGTTTCTAATCCCAGGCACTACAATGTTCGCTATCGGGAAAAGGGGGAATCAGCAAGGTGGGATTACAAGCGGGTGCCTCACCGGCGGGCGCTGGTGGAGAGTCTGCTGCCGGATACCATGTATGAATTTGCTGTCCAAATCTTGGAGGGAGAAAAGGAAGGCAAGTGGAGCGTGTCTGTTTACCAGCGGACCCCAGAAGCGGGTATGTATTAAAGAGATCGTTGGTGTGATACAAATTTTGAGGATTAAAGCTGCAAAATACAGCCGGCTTGAGGCATAGCCAGGAGAAGCAATAAAACGAAACAGCCTTCGTGCTGCTGCCTGTTTCCCTAGAGCAGGCCTTGGTGAACAAGTCCAGGGCTGCTATTTCGGCAGGGGTAGAGCAGGTGAGAGATTGGTATGTGTATTTCTGGGGCTAAATACTGGTAATTTCTAGATTCTGTCTCTGAAGACTCAAGTTTTGGTACAGTGAAGAGAAGTGGTCCACAAGAACCAAATTACATGAGCTTTACACTCAGCTAAGCCATAGTCCTTGTGCAGACAGCCTGTCCCCAGCAGCATGCAGGACAAATTCACGATGGGGATCCTGTACAGGGGTATAATATAGGCGCACATGGACCTGAGCCATTTGTATACTTCAGTTTTTATCTTTGAAATGGTCATACAGAAAGTCCTGCAATGAGAAGGAGCAAGAAGTATATGCCATGCGAGTAAGCGTTTCTTAGTTGCCTCTTTTGCCCGTGGCTGTTTCACAGCTCCTGCCAGTGCACCTGAAAATTTGGACGTTTGGCCGTTGAAAGGCAAACCGACCTCTGTCGCTGCCTCCTGGGATGCTCTTCCAGAGAGTGAAGGAAAAGTCAAAGGTAAGTTATCATCATCATTTTTTAACCCTCACAGGGAGCTGTTCTTCTTGAAACGAGACTGTCACCTTGCAGGAGGCTGGAACGAGCACGGGTTTGTCCACACGGCATTGCCACCTATGCCACGGCTGTGTTAAAGACTTGCGCCAGAGCAAGATGTGTCTTATTTCCAGCCCAGCTTCAGCTACTCCACTGTGCTGCTGGGAAGATGCTGTCTTGTGCCCAGGATGCTTCCTGGGCTGCCATGGATGTGTGCTTACTCTCTCCTGATAAGCAGGTTGAAGTGGAGCTCCAGAAGGAAGTTTTCCAAAGGATTTATGAAAGTTAGATGAAGAAGTAAGTTAGGCAAAGTTGGGTAGCTGCCAAGAAAGTGAATGGCTTATGTTTTGTTGTATTTCTATTTTATCATGTAATGAAAGCCTCTTAAGTAAAAACACCAATAGTGATTTCAACACTTCACATGTGCTGTAGCGTTGCCATATATGGCCATATTGCTAATTTGTCAATAGCAGATTACTTGCATAAGATTTAGAAATCTTCCATGTTTTTTTTTTCTTTTTCCCCCCAAAAATGAATAGGCTGGTTAATTGGTTCCTCACATTCTTCTGCAATTGATAGGATTGTGTTCTGAGGTCACACAGGTTTCTGGAGGTGCCTTCTCAGCGCTGTAGGAACCCAGCATTTAACAAGACACTGCTGTGAAGAGGGAAGTGTGCTGTGTCAGCATAAAAGACCTGCTTTATACGTTCGTCGGGGCAGTGGTGGAATTTTTTCCACTTTGAAGTAGGAGTTCTGCCAGTTGTTTCAATGGAGCTGCAACAAGATCCAAGAATTATTTCTTAAAGTAGGGTCGTTCAGGGACATTATCTGAAATTTAAAATCTGCTCCTAATTTTGAGCATTCTGTAACCCTTTCTCCAGATTTGTCTTCTGTCTTATAGATGATTTCTCAGTCGTTTTAAAGAGACTTGAAAACACGAATATGTCTCATACATTGTTAAGAGTTTATTTTTTTTTTGGAACAGAAGTATAACAAGAGAGGTCTTTTTAATGAAATAAATGACATGAGTGAGATGTATAATAGCTAAATAAAACCCGTGAATTAGCACTTCATAGTCACTGTTGATAGCAGTGGTAGTTGGGAATTTTTATGCTTTTGTCCATTTGTTTTTCAAACCTGCCCTTAAATTGTCCTCTAGTAGCCGTTTGAAAGCTACCAGAATTAACACCAGTGCCTGTGCAAATAAAATTCACTCTGGTGTACTCATCATATATCATCCTGAATAGAATTATATATCTTAAAACAAGAAATGTAGAAAACAAAATTCAGCATGCCTTCTCATACTTTTTATTTATTTATTTATTTATTCATTTATTTTACTGATCAGTATGCATTTGCATGTTAAAAATGATGATGATTCTTGGTTTCGATGACTTATGCTTGGCTTATTTCTTAATGCAATGAGTATAGGATTGTTTTCGGAAGAAAAAATAATTTTCCTGTTTTAATGTTGTTGTAGTTCTAGATTTTTTGTTGTTGTTTGAAGAGAGGAAAGTTGCAGCTCTTGGAATTTATTTTCAAAATCCTGTTTGTAGCTGGTGTCAATACCTCTTACAGAGGATTCAAAAAAAAGGAAGCCTGCACATCACTAAAATCTTACCTGCATTCTAAGATACATCCCTATGAGAATGTAATGGGAAAAGTCTTCTTCATGCTTACAGTTAATTTGATTAAGTTTAAATTTTCCCAATGTGGAAAGCTATTATAATGCGTTGGTGCCACTCTCATCCTGAATTGAGATGTGAGAGCAGGGTGAGCATCTTAAGTAGCCACAAGGCCTTGCCTTGGTCTGTCTGCAGCGGTGCATGCCCTGGTATAGCTAGTAAACACAGTTTGACAGGGAAGATTTTAATTTTCTTGAATGGATGCTACCATTTAGTAATATGCAGTGTCATTATTTCCCAGTGAAAGTACTTTTTAGGGAACAACCTTACATCATTAAAGCATGAATTTTGCCTACTGGTCTGTAGTTCACAATTAAAATCCAGTCGAGACATCCACTTAATCAAAGGCTAAGCTGAAAACATTTATTTTTGACTGCAGTGATATTGTTCACATGCATAAAGTAAATGCTTTGTTTTTTTCATGGGGATGCCCCTTATGCTCCCACACTGCTTAGGGGTGAGTATATGGATCCTTAATGCTGGTGGAGTCTTTCTAGAACAGATTGGCAGAATTGCTTTTGCTTGACTGGAGTGTGAAAATGTAGTGTAATTAGATCTGTGTCAAAGCTTTGTTGAAAACGTCACCTGATTTTAATACTGATGTCTTGAAAGTTAATTATGTGAATATGCCATTTTGATCTTCTTCCAAGTAGTTTCTGTGGGAAAGAAAGATTTTTAACATTCTTGTTTGCTGTGGACATAGTTGCCGCCAGTAACACAATTGTGTTTTATCCATCTTTGGAGCAAGTGATGTTTTGGAAGAACAGTCTTTGGATTATGTGTTGTCATTTGTAAATGTCTTCATTACTAATCAGTAGGTTCTGAACTTTTATTTCCCTGGGAAAATCTAAAATCTGCTCACACTCCAACAGTCATAATAACAAAAAGTGGTCTTGCAGTGTAGCAAGCCAAACTGCCTGGCACTGTTGGTGCTGTAACTTCTTATGGTCGTTGTTGGGGCTGTTGGTGGTGGCTCTTCCCACTGGTCGGAACTGTTGCCTTTGTATTATGAGAAAGGTGCAGCTAAAGTCTCAGTCTTTAGCTCATTGACATGGCATGCTTCTGTCTATTAAAATGAGAGAATGTTTATACAACTTATTAATATGTATTTCATGTCTTTATACTCCAGCTGTTGACTCGACGTGCATTGATAGTGTATTAATTATAGTAATGCACGTTCTAATTCATCCTACCCATACAGTCTGTCCGCTGGAAACAGGACTGTTTTCAGTTTCCTCCTTCCAACCGTCTGCCAAATCATTTCAGAATACATTCTTTCATACGCCCCGGCTCTCAAGCCATTTGGAGCAAAGTCCATCACCTACTCTGGAGCTACAACATCAGCCATAATAGATGGTCTGCAGGCTGGGGAGCGCTATATTTTCAAAATTCGTGCAGCAAACAGGAGGGGACAAGGTCCTCAGTCGAAAGCCTTCAGTATTGGTATCCCAGCAGGTAAGCATCGTGGCCTTAGTTTGTCCATTCTTGTGTTGGTCCCAGTTATGCTTGTTGTTACTCACCTTTCTTAGTTTCCTCTGTGCTCCATCTAACCAATGCAGTTTTGCTTCCTTAAAACTGTTTCTGATAGCTTTTCCTGGCTGTATTGTCCAAAGGGGTGCTTGTAGATAAGCACTGATCACTCTGCAGCAGTTAAAAGGTCATTTAATGGATATTTCAACATTTTGAATAAATTGTTATCATACCCTATTTCATGGTGTGCAGCAAGAATATGTTGAGTGCTCTTCTTGTCCAAATAAAACCATATTTTGTTTCTTTAATTGCACTATTCCTGGCCACTTCCACTCTTCAAAGTTAGTCATTTACTTTTCTTAGACCTCGTCTGGACTTCTTGCTCTTGCTTCTTGCAGAAAGATACTGTTGTGAGGACAGAGAATTTACAGAGTTAACTAAAAATGTGGGCTGCATTGTCAGGTGAGGTAATGCATCCTTAAACCATGAACATGAATAAGGTCTGCTAGGGATTTGGTTCCACTGATATGCTGTTGCTCCCTCTCATTTCAGATATTTTATTTTGATTGCCCTGTTTTACGCAAGTTATAACAATTCCGTAAAAGTTGGTTAATACAGAAAGAATTGTCCCATATTCTCTTATGTAACCTGCTTCTTGCTACCTCACTGTCTTCTCTTCTTTTTCAGTTTTTGTCCTTCATCTGTTGTTATGAATAAAGAGTGTCTTTTTTTTTCTTTCCCCTGCCCCATCCCCCAGCTGCTCAGGAGGATTCAATAGCTCAGCAACAAGCAAGTATTCAAGATAATTCAAAGGCCAAAACACCTGGAAATGCTGGTTCACCTAGTGTTAGTGATAAAAAGAGTCTACTTTCTGAATATAAGAATAAACTCTTGGCTGGAGGAGGAGTCCTGAGTAAATCTCAGTTACCTTCTAGAAAGACAAGTGAGTTGGAACCTGATCTCCAATCCACTGAAGTGACAGATGATCACGATTCCTCCCAGGAGGCTACAGCAGCACCACCAAAAGCCCAGGTTCAGAGAAATGTTGTTAGACCTTTGCCCCCCAGTCGGCCAGTCCACCCTGTCCTTGCTTTGGGACGGATCCCCATTCGAACCCATCCATCGGAGGGGTCACGACAGACAAGCACAGGTAAACGTGAGCCACTAGCACTGCTACCATCCTCAACACAACGCTCTTCTGCCTCTTCTGTTCCGGAGTACACAGATAATGAAACAAAGCAACTGAGGCAAAGCAGCACTAATATTCCTTCTCCTAAAACCTCTTCCCATGTTCTTCCTGCCAAAAATAATGATCTTGCTCGTAGAAGTTATGCTGAGCATGACAGTGAAGAAGCAGAGGGCAGAGCAGAACAGTCCAGTTCTAGGTCACAGCAAACAAGGCTTCCCTCAGCCTCCAGTTCTCACATGTGGAAGGATTCAAAATTGGCTGCTGTGGCGGTCTCATCAAGGTCTGCTGTTTCTGGTCACACTTCACCTCACTCTCACTCCTTCAGTGCCAAATCTGAGGGAAAGGATGGTGATAAGAATAGGGAGGGCTCACAAGATGAAAAGTCCTTGTCTCCAGCCATTGCACGCAATCCTTCTCTATCCACTTCCAGGCAGTCTTCTTCAGCAATCTATTCTAAGAAACGAAATCCTCAGATAGATTCCAATTCTCACCGCAGAGACACGCATGGTGAAAAGTCACCACACTCTGACTCAGAAGAAGATCACAGTAGAACAGCTGCTCCAGAAAAGCATTCTCCTTTGCAATCCTCTCTTTCCAACCATAAGCCTGAGGACCAGGACAGCCAAGAGATAAGAGAAAATCTTGCTCAATCAAAGCCAAGTTTGTCTTTGCCTAAAAAGACCTTTCCCTCTCATCTTCCATCACAGAAGAGCTCCCATTCAGAGGCTCCTCAGAGGGCACAAACCAGCCCATCCCTACTTCATTCTAGGGGACGGCGTCTTCCGTCTCCCGTCACATCTCAGAGTAATGAAGAATTACAGGAAAATGAGGATGAGGATGTGGGAGAAGGTAGGGACAGAGCAAGCACCCGGTCTGTGTCTCCTAAAGAGGTCTCCCCTTCTAGAAATTTACCTGCCTCTTTCTCTCAGGGAAGCTCAAGTTTATCAAAGCAACAGCAGTCAGGGTCTCAGGCACCATCCTACAAATCAAAACTTACTCAGCCAGACTCCAGTTCTTCCAGTGCTGCAGTAAAGGACAACCATTATAATCCAAGGTTGTCATCCCCTTCTTTGAGACAAACCCGTCCTTCATTACCTACCCGTTCAAGGGTTGCTACGAGAACAGTGCCCCAAGCGGAGAAAAACTACGGCCTGCTGCCATCAAGATTATCTTCATCTAAATCTCGTCAGTCAGGTTCTAATGAAGAGGATGATTATTATAGTGAATATGACCAGAAAGAATCAGAGGAGAAATCCACATCACCTTTGGCAGCAAAATGGTCAGCTGTTTCTAGAGGTAACAAAAACACGTATGATGACACTACTAGCAATAGAAGGAAATCTATGGACACTCTTCTACCTCACAAAGTAAGATCTGAAGAAGAAGAGAAGGAAGAAACTCCAACGTTAAAAATGCCTTCTCCTGAATCACCAGGCAGCTCAGCTATAGCAGCACGGATTCCTCACTCCCCTAACAAACATATTCCATCTAAACCAAGCTTCGTTTGGCCACGTTCCTCTGCGTCTACAACTACACACACTGTTTCTCCAACAGTTTCTTCTTCCACTCTGTCCCCTCGCCAGAGACTACTGAACTCCAGATTACGGAGCCCTTCCCAACGACAGTTTGTTAGACCTTCTTATAGGCAAGGTATGTTGTCTTTGTTTTAATAATCTCACTATACCAAGCTTTCCTTAACATCAGCTATTAGATGAAATGGAAAGTTCTCTCCCAGAGTGTAGTTTATTTATTATAAGGTATTAGCTTTAATTTTGGTGGTCTTAGGGAGCCCGCTTCTTGAGAGCTAAGCAAAGTGTGATGAGGTGCCCCAGACCCTTGGTCTTGCAGGGCACTGATCTGTGCAGGATCCTGCAGCCTGATTCGCACAGGATCCCACATTCCACAGAGATCTCCAAATCTCAAGTGGTCTATCTGGGCGGATCAGATGACAGAATTAGGGACTATAACGGTTCCTTACTGAGTAATGACTTCTCTGAATTTGCACTGAAAGAGCATTTTTACTCGGAATGTGACTTCTTCTCAGGTATGTTGTTCTTCCTTATAGGGACTATTAAAAAGGCTTTGGCAGGCTTTGTGCTCCTACTATGCCCACCACAAGGCAATAAGATGTTTCCATAGTCTGTACAGGCATGTAGTATTTTCTTTAACTGTTTTTTAAGCACTTTCCTCTCATTTCTGAGGAGAGGTCACATGCTCCTGATGAGGATTTCTCAGGCCTTTTGACACAGTCAAAATGATATGTTGATATGTTTGTGACTGAAATTTGTTCCAAGATTAGAGGCTTGCTTTCTGTTAAAATGTCTTCTGATTATGGGCAGGGGAACAGTAAAGCTCTGTCAGGTACTGATTCCTTGTGTGACATAAGGTGGTCCCAGACAGTCTCAGTGGCTTGGCTAGAGACAGGAATATATTTTTCCTCTTTCGAGTGCATGAACATTCAAGAACTGTATGGAGTTACCTGAGTGTTTCAGTAAGGGCATTCTGTGCTTTGCATGGATAAGAACAACTTATTTAATGTGGTTTCAGTGCTCTACAATGCACAATGCAGCTGGATATTGCACTGGCTTTAGTCAGACTAAACACTGTACGGAGGTCCACCAGCTTGCAGAACATTCAAGCAGAAGTGGGCCTTAAATAACATCATGGAGGATGTGTATGGCAGAAAGTTTAAGTGCAGTGTCTCATTTTCAGACATGACAAAGTTTCCAGAACTCCACTGACCCACAGCATGCAAAAGATGTAGGTAGTTCCTCCTCCCTGAACACTGAGATCCTTCATCCCGCTAAAAATCTTACCCTTCATTTTTGCAGATGGTGTCATTACCAATGAAATTCAAAAGTTAATGGCCAAGGAGTGTCTGTTTCTTGTCGGTTAATTTCATATATAATTCCTGGTGAGCTAATATCTGTGAGCTAGAATGTGGCTGTTGCTGCCTTTTCTGAGTTTGAGAGCCTGCAGCTCTGTGCTGCAGCTTTTGGAGCTCTCAGCTGAATGCGTTTCTTGTAGCTGTGTGAGGTGAGCCTTGTTTTGCAGCTAGAGAAAGGGAGCCTTTTTTACTGCTTATACATTTGCAGAAATGAAGGATTTGTCCTGTGTTTCTTGAGTCTGAAGCAGATCTTAATTGCTGTGTTGGCAAACCTGTATTTGCTGCAGATGCTCTAAACCAGTTCAGAAGCTTTCTAGGAGGTGTGAACAAATCACTAGGCTAGGACTGAAAATCCTGAAATTCAGACCAGAAAATTTTCTTCTATCATCAGAAATTCATCCAACATTGAGCTTGATCTGTATTTTAATGTGATGTGAGATGAGGCAACAGCAATACCCTTTGTGCTGGTGCCTTTAGAAGAGCTGTCTTGGGCAGAAAGCTTTGCATATCTGCTTTCCAGTGTAGGAGCTGACTTTATCTATATTGGATATTACAGAAAAAGTTATCTTAATGCCATGGTGTTGGGAGCCATTTGACTGTATTCACTGTTTTAATAATCTTGATTTCATTTTTAAATGTCAGTTTCCTGATGCTAATAGTTTCCAAACAAAATTTGCCATGGCTGCTTTGCACCATGTTATTGACATAAAACAGTCTTACGGACAATCTGAGTAGAACCAGTGAGGCCACGTTTCCATCTTTGCCGAAGTAAATGGCAACCCAAGCATACTGGTGAATCTAGCCTTTATGTGTAGTCAGATTCATATTAAACCTATTATACATCATATTTAATGTCTAAATGCTGAATACAAATTGTGAGAAACTTCACAGTGAGAAAACCCTGAGTATCTGCAAGTATTACACAAAGTTCAGAATCAATAATGACCATCATTCTGTAACCTGTACAGGTAAAATACCTCCATGAGACTTGTATTTAACAGTGCATTCATAAGAGATATTGCATTTCTTTATGTTTTGTTTTGTGATTTGTAATATGCTGTCTTTTGTGTGGCTTTCTTCAGAACAGTGTGCTTTCTTCTGTATTTCAGGTTACAATGGCAGGCCAAATCTTACAACAAAAAATGGAAATGGAAAAATACTACCTGGTAATAATGGAAAACCAAGTGGACAGAGAATAATCAATGGCCCTCAAGGAACAAAGTGGGTAGGGTGACTTTCTCTGCAAATTCAAGATTCTTTGGCCTTTTGTTTTACTTAACTTTTCTTTATGATAAAAGTCAGCAATGTCCCTCAGTCAAGGAAGGTGTAAAATTAGGTTTCGCTTAGTTTCCTGTGTTGCTACATTTAAATCTAGTGACAAATACAGCATTTCATTCTTTGGACATTATAAATGGCAAGTTTAAAGCATAATAGTTTGAATTTTCATCTACAACATCAGTGCCATAGAAACGTTAGTGAAGCATTTTTCCTCAAAGTCCATGGGACTTGTGCTCCTAGGTTGCTCAGGACTTGTCTGCAGTGAAGTATCAATGCAAGGTGGCTGGGATAGTTGTTGTGGAACGTGTATTTGGCAACACTTACTGCAGACTGACACTCCAGGGAGCAAAGGGCACACATGAACAGGAGTGTAGAAATGTAGTGTTACTTACCAAGTGTCTTGATGTTTTAAATGCCCACCTTGCCCATCAGAATAGCTTCCCTGGGTTGACAGGCTTCAAACTGATACCTTTAAATGTTTTGTAGTTCATACAAATATGTTTCTAGTTGTATTTTCAGATGAATTCAGGTATCATTAATGGGAAAACCCCATTGGGTGCCTAAATGCCCAGATCTTGTCCTTCAAAATTCTTTCAAAGCAGTTTGT